AGCACAGGGGAGAGCCCCTGGAAGCTGCCACACTGGGATCCCACCCTCTCGCAGCTCTTCTCTGCAGACTTTTCCTGGCCACCATGACAAACACTATAGCAGAGAGGGCTTCAAGCCAAGATCAGATAAGGAAGAGGAGCTTTTCCTATTGGAATGCTAGGAAACCCTTCCCATAACTTTATCCCCACAAAACAAAAGACCTATGGCTACAAGGAAGAAGAGTAAAATAAGCAACCCTGTACTACTTTGGAGGGGCAAGGCATTCTCTGCCTCCCATACCTAAGACAGAAGGGCGTGTTTGGCTGCCAGCCAACAGTCCCTGTCTCAAAGAGAAGGGGCAAAATTATTGAGCAAACTCAACTTTAAAGTCCCTGGGATTCAGGACCTACCAAAAACTGACATCGTCAAAAAAACAATTCTGATCCAGAGGGCCTTAACATTCCCTTAGCCTTAGACAAGCTTTAGACAGGCTTCCTGCTGCTATGCCCAACCTCTCCTTTGCTTAGAATATTTACTTTAGAAATCTGCTTGGGGCTGCTGCCATAGTGCAGTAGGTTAATACTCTGCCTGTGGTGCTGGCATCCCATATGGGCACCAGTTCTATTCCTGGCTGCTCCTCTTAAAATCCAGTTCTCTGCTTTGACCTGGGAAAGCAGAAGATGGCCCAAGTGCTTGGGCCCCTGCACATGCATGGGAGACCAGGAAGAAGCACCTGGCTCCTGGCTTCCTATCGGCGCAGCTCTGGCTGTTGTGACCACTGGGGAGTGAACCAATGGATGGAAGACCTTTCTGTCTCTCTCTCTCCCTTTCACTGTCTGTAACTCTACCTTCTCAAATAAATAAATAAATAAATCTTAAAAAAAAAAAAAGAAATCTGCTAATTGTTAACTCTTTACTCCTTTGAGATGCAAATCTTCTTAAAAGCTTCTTGACAGTATTAAGGCTCTTGAATGACTTTCTCAAGCACCTGGGAGCTCTATCTTTGATAATGTCTTTGGTATGGAATCAACTAGGAAGATAGTGTCCCTATCTTCCAATCTGGGAGGAGAGGAGCAGGAAAGAGGAAGAGGAGAGAGTGAAGGCAGAGCTAGGAGCCTAACATTGGTTAGAGCATCTTCCCCTAAGTGGCAAAGTAATTTTCTGTTTTAAATTTAGAAGAAATTCACATTTCCTTTTGTTGCCTAACAACTCCACATACTAGTTGGAGGAGTTGGTATAGTACCCTGAATTGGTTCAACCAACCATTATGCAGAAAGCCAGTCACTGACTTTGCAGTGGTGGGAGAAAGTAGGTATTTAATGCAAACTGCAGTGCGAGAAGCCAGGCACCTATTGTTTAATTCGTGGGCTCCCAGAAGAGCTAGAGGAGAAGGTTCTTATAGACTGAAATTGGAGGTGAGAGACATGTTATCAGCTAGTGTCCAAGTTCCTGGTTGGTCACTGCTGCTCCTGACTTTCCTTTGAGATTGGTAGGTGATGTGCTCTTTGGGGAATTTATGATGGTCAGGTAGACACCAGTTGGTCTGGGAGTTACGTAAAGGTGGCAGTTACATTCTGTCTGGACCTGGCATTTTATTTAGGGAAACCTAAATAAAAGCTTTCAAACCATATTGGTCATCAAGGTTTTATCTATTGGAGAAACAAATGGCTCCCTGAGACATGTGATTAGAACTTTGTTGGTCAGCTTAATCCCTCCCTGAAGTTAGTGAATTCCATTTGATAAAGGACAGACAAGAGGCTGGGTCCGGCTTTTACATTATATGGGTTTTGCTTCACTTTGGACCACTTAGAAAACAAAGATGTGTCTAAAACACACACACACACACACACACACACACACATATACCTTATGATACCCGGATATTAGCTCCTAAAAACTTTTGCGACCCTCTCTGCAGTGATATTAAGTATAGATTATTTTCCAATCTGTCTCCAAAATTGAAGCAGCTTTGGATAAAGATTTCCTTACCTGTAGAACTTTTCCCAGTGCTACACTTGCCTGAAAAATTTCTATCCACATGGAAAATTGATTCTAGAAGACAGAGTTGAGTAAACACATATTTTAAAATAACAAGATATGCTGATTGCCACTTACTGAGTAGAAAAACAATTTTCCCTATATTTCAACCTGCCAAGCTATAAAATAAGAATAATGTAGAATAAAATCTGTTTCTAGCATGAAGTGAATATAAAATGTCAAGTTAACTGGCACATATTAATCATTATCTCTCTATAAATACATACATAAATATATATAATTTAATTTCATTAAATAACATTGGGAATGTTACAGGGAATGTTTCTGAATAATTTACATATTAACATGTTGTCAATCATTTCCCTGACTTCATGACAAAAACAACCTGAATCCAAACTCTAAATATGACTACATGTATAGACTAAATAACTAAATGCAATCTTTTAGATTACCTTTCACATTACTTTATTTTAAAGAGTAGATTGGCAGATCAGAAAGGGATCATGATTTTTGTATTTTTTTGTTCTTTTAACACTTGCTGAGAATGCATTGATAGTTTACCTTTATGGAACTCTGAAAGGATATCTATGGCAATCTTCATTGCTGGAATCTACATTTCAGAGACTTAATCCATAGTCTTTCAAATTTTCTCCAGTTAAAAAAATATTTGTTTATATTTGAAAGGGACAAAGAGAGAGAGAGAGGGAGAGAGAGAGATCATACCTTCTGTGTTACTACCCAAACCTGCAATAGCCCAGGCTACGTCAGACCAAATTCAGGAGCCATGAAATCCATTGGGGACTCCCACATAACAGCAAAAACTCAAGTACTTGAGCATTCAACTGATGCCTCTCATATTGTGCATTAGCAGAAAACTGGAATCAAAGACAGAGCAAGAACTCAAATCCAGACACTCTTATATGGGATGCAAAAATCCCAAGCAATGTCTTAATTGTTGTGCTAGATACTCACCCCTCTCCAGGGCTTTTAATATGAAATCCTGAAATTAAATGTAAATCACTGTTAAAAAAAGATCATTCACCCAGACCAAGTAGGATTTAATCCTGCTATGATGGGATGGTTCAACATTTGCAAATCAATCAATGTGATATATCACATTAACAAATTGAAGAACAAAAACCATATGATTATCTCAATAGATTGAGAGAAAGCATTTGATAAAATACAGCACCCTTTCATGATGACAACTCAAAGCAAACTGGGTATAGAAGGAACATTCTTCAACACAATCAAGGCAATTCATGACAAACCAATGGCCAGCTTCATATTGAAGGGGAAAAACTGGAAGCATTCCCACTGAGATCCGGTACCAGACAGGGATGCCTACTTTCACCATTGCTATTCTATATAGTCCTGGAAGTTTTAGCCAGAGCCAAAGCCATTATGCAAGAAAAACAAATCAAAGGGATAAAAATTTGGAAGGAAGGAGTCAAACTATCCCTCTTTGCAGATGACATGATTCATTATTTAGGGAATCCAAAAGACTCTGCTAAGAAATTATTGAAACTCATAGAAGAGTTTGGCAAAGTAGCAGGATATAAAGTCAATACACAAAAATCAACAATTTTTGTATACATAGATAATGCCACAACTGAGAATGAACTAAGATCAATCTCATTCTCAATAGCTACAAAAAAAATCAAATACCTTGGAATAAACTTAACCAAGGACGTTTAAGATCTTACAATGAGAATTACAAAACATTTAAGAAAGAAATAGAAAAAAGATACAAAATGGAAAAGTCTTCCATGTTCATGGATTGGAAGAATCAATATCATCTAAATGTCCATTCTTCCAAAAGCAATTTATAGATTGAATGCAATACCAATTAAAATACCAAAGACATTTTTCTCAATCTAGAAAAAGTGATGCTGAAATTCCTATGGAGGCACAGGAGACCTCGAATAGCTAAAGCAATCTTGTACAACAAAAACAAAGCTGGAGGCATCACCACCAGATTTCAAGACACACTACAAAGCACTTATAATGAAAACAGCCTGGTACTGGTAAAAAAAACAGATGGATAGACATGGAACAGAATAAAAACACCAGAAATCAATCCAAACATCTATAAGCAACTTAAATTTGACCAAGGAACTAAAACCAATCCATGGACCAAGGAAAGTCTCTTCAACAAATGGTGTTGGGAAAACTGGATTTCTACATGCAGAAATATGAAGCAAGATCCCTACCTTACACCTTACACAAAAAAAGCCAGTCAACATGGATTAAAGATCTAAATCTATGACCAGAGGCACAAGCAGTCAAAGCCAAAATTAACAAATGGGGTTACTTCAAATTGAGAAGTTTATGTACAGCAAAAGAAACAGTCAGGAAGTGAAGAGGCAACCCACAGAATGGGAGAAATTATTTGCAAACTACAGAACTGATAAGGTATTTTTTTAACTACCAGTATTTTTTATTCTTGATGGAAAAACAAAACAAAACCACAAGTAGGAGCCATGGAGGTAAAATACAGAAGAAATGGAAAATAGTCTCTTGTCACGATTTCTCTCTTTCAAATGCCATTCTGCATGGAAGTTATTTTACTGGGACAAACAGAAGATCAAATTGGAGTTTCTTACTTTTGTAAAATGGGGAATCAAAAACCTGCTGATCAATAAATAAAAAAAGTAGCAAGAATCCCTGGTAAAGCTATTCTATACACATAATTATAGGTTTACATTTTACCAGGAAAAGACAGGCCAGGGAAAGCAATGACTAGAAACTGGTACCAAACCAAAGTGAATGCTCTGGAGCTTTTTGTAAACTCCTGTCCTAGAGTAGTGTTTTTCAGTGTCTTTCGAAAGAAAGATTCCTCCGAATCATTCAAGTCTTAGCATCCCAATTCACTCCTCCCTTCCTTTGTCTCGTCCCATTAAAGGGAAGCACAGTTTTGTCCAGCACCACTTGGGAAGAAAAGGGGTTGGACTCACGGGATGGGAAGAGCTGCCTGCTACAATGATTTGGGTGGAGGAGATGTCAACAGAGTTTCTCCATAGTTTTAACAAATATAAATGAGGAATGAGATCATTTGGCAGTTCTGTTTTCACTAATAGGTAGGCACCTTTACTTCATGAATTATGCTCCTTAGAATAAATAATAAAATTAAATCAGACTTTTAAAAAATTTGGTTAAAGAAAAATGGAAAGAGAAGAGCTTCAAAACTCAAGTACTGTCCTGTTGAGAATGTCTAGTGTGCATTCAAAGTATTAGAAAGCAGGCATTTTTACCAAAAAGCAACTGTCACTATCACACATGAACCACAGTTATTAACAGAAAGTAATAAAAATGGCAGGGTGCGTGTGGAAACCAGAGAGGAAACACCAGCGAGGACACAGAGTGAGCAGGTGCTGTGGGAGTAAGGCTCTGAGAGACGAAGGACTCTGTCCCAGAGGTGGATATCTGCCCGACTATCTTGGCTCCAAGGAGGATGAATATAACTGGTAGGATCTGAGGAGAGGGCACTGCTGTAGACCCCAAAGCAGGCCTCTGGTTTTCGCTCCTAAGTGGACACGCTTTGTGGACTTCAGCAAGGTCTTCTCAGGAGGATCTGCTTTCTGACATGTAGTGACGATACAGGAAACCTGTGAGAACAGCGCCTAGGATGGGGAGAATCCAATATGTCCAGCAACGTCGGCATGCATTCTTTTCCAAAGGGTCCTGTCTGCCACTCCCAGGTTTAAGGTCACTCGGGTGGACATCACCAATGTAGTACTGCTTTAGCATCTCTCTGGCATCAGAGGAATGGCCGACATCTTCAAAGCTTTCGCTTGCATCTGAGCCAGCTTGTTCCAGCAGAACTTCTTCCCCACCAGGGTGCTCGTTGAGGAAGCGGGTGATATTGTAGACCCGCCCGTGGATCACCAGCCATAGGTCCTTCGGGGAGTAGCACTTGACTACATCCTCCAGCCAGTAATAGGTGATGGAGGTCTCGCCCCCTTGCCCTTTCCCGTCGCTGCCGCTGGTTTCTGCAGTCGCCATTGGCCCCCAGACGCCTCTTCTCCTCCACTCTCCGGGTTTCTACAGCTAACTTCCTGATAAAGTATTAATAGCCAAAATCTACAAAGAGATCAAGAAACTCCACAAAAACAATACAAACAACCCAGTTAAGAGACGGGCAAAGGATTTAAACATTTTTCCGAAAGGAAATCCAAATTGCCAACAGACACATGATAAACTGTGCAGGTTCACTAGCTGTAGGGAAATGGAAATCAAAGCCATAATGAGGTTTCACCTCAACCCAGTTAGAATGGCTTTCATACAGAAATCAACAAACGCTGGAGAGGATGTGGGGAAAAAGGCACACTAATCCACTGTTGGTGGGAATATAAACTGGTAAAGCCACAATGGTAGACAGTATGGAGATACCTCAAAAATCTGAATATAAAACTACCATATTATCCAGCCATCCCACTCCTGGGATTTAACAAAGGGAAATACAATCAGTAGACCAAAGAGCTACCTGTACCTCCATATTTATTGCAGCTCACTTCACAATAGCTAAAACATGGAATCAACATAAATGCCTGTCAACTGAAGACTGGATAAAGAAATTATGGGATATGTACAATATGGAATACCACACAGAGGTAAAAATAAATAAATAAAATCCAGTCATTTGCAACAAAATGGATGAATCTGGAAAGTATCATACATAATGAAATAAGCCCATCTCAAAGGGACAAATACCATATGCTCTCCCTGATCTCTGAGAATAACTATAGTACGCAAAAGGAAATCTGTAGAACTGAAATTGACAGTTCGAGAAGGCATGACTTGAGCTGCTCTTGTTTTGACTGTGGTGGAACAGTTTTTTTTGTTTGTTTGTTTATCATTTTTTTCTCCATACTATTCATTGAACTCTTTACTTAACATAGAGTTAATCATATGTGGGTAAAGTCAATTGTAAATAGATCTCTGTAAAAAATAACACTGGGAATACGAGAGGAAGGAGGAAGTTTGTAACTGTAAAGCTGTGTAGTTCTGCATATATTCCTATGGACTTAATTCTAAGCGTACAGTTTAAAAACGTGTCATGGGAGTCCAAATCCCATTAACTTGGTGATAAAAATACTATCTTAATTGTTAAAGTGATTATATTAAGTGCCGAAGTGAACAATATAGCATAGGATTAAGTGTTAAGGTGATCATATAAATAGGATCAAGTGTCTAGTAATAATAGATAGAATTAAAAAGGAGAGAATGTTCCAACATGGGAAGCAGTCCACACAGCAGACTCAAAGTATGACAAGTGCTTTAAGTAACACTCTGACTTCAGAATCGGCCTTTAAGCCCCTGGTCTTGTTTAAAAGCCTGTGAGAGCATTTCAGGCAAGAAAAGCCAAGACACTGTGGCAAAAAATTTTCTACATGAAGGATCTCTGTGAGTGAAACTGCAGTGGAAAGAGGTGGCTGTTAAAGAAGGATGTACTTTTCTCTAAAAGGAGGAGAGAACTTCCACTTTGTCTAAATACTGATGGAGTTTGTGGACTCAAAGGGCTTCCATAACCTAGGTAGCTCATGTCAAGAGCCTTGGGTAGTCACTGACGTCATACAGAACAGTGTTAATTATTAAATTAGCAACAGGAGACACTGAGTACTAACACTCCATGCAGGACCTCTGTCCTTAATGAGTTGTATTATGTGAGTTAACTGTAAAACTAGTTCTCAAACAGATTTGTGTGTTTATGTGTATGTGTGCAAATTGTTGAAATCTTTATTTAGTATAGAGTTGGTATAAAAAGTTGGTATAAAAAAGTTTTGTATATAAAGTTAATTGAAAATGAATCTTAATGGAGAATGGGACTGGCAAGGGGAAACTGAGGGGTGGGAGTGTGGGTAGAAGTTGAGGTATGGTTGGAAGAATAACTATATTCCTAAAGTTGTATTCATAAATTTGTATTCCTTAAAAAATAAAAAAGTTAAGATGTTTGTTCTCTTAATTGTAATATGTTCTTTTTAGATGCATGGTTAAATATTTCAGAAGACCAGACTGACCCAAGTCCCAGACAGTTTCAGTAGGATTCTGCCAAATAAAAATCAAGGAGGAAATTTAAAACTGCTAAAAGCCATTCATCTTCAATGTTCTTGTTACTCAGGTTCTAAATATACGTTTACATTGAAACAACTTCATCCTTTACCTAGCATCAATGTATTTCTAGTAATGAATTGCTTTGTCTTATTGAATTCTCTCTTCAAATAAGAAATCCAGTTCTTCATTTGCTTCCTGTTATGCCACCACCAACTTTTTTGCTTCTTGACTTGTATATTTTAATGACATCTTCCCAATTTTCTTGTTCATTAACTCCACTTTTTAAAAAAGTTTATATTTAGATTTTTAAAATGTAAATATGAAAATTTTCACATCTAAATAATTATAAAAACTATAAACTTAAACATATAAATGATTTCAATACTGTGTAACTTAAGTTTTAAATAATATAATGACTTAATACTCTCCACCATGTAAATGTGCATATAAATAGCTTTTTCCATAATCGAAATTGGGCATTATTTCTTGAAATAACAGTTACAATTACTATATTGAATATTCATTTTACTTCTTGAAATAATTTTACCCTAGCATATGTTTGCTTTAAAATAAAATGTATATATTTTAAATGGAATTATTATTTACAGCATGGATACTTCAAGTGTATGTATATATTTGTATACATCTTCTTTGTTTATAGTTGTACTTATATGGTTATTGTACAAGAAACCTTATTCCCTTTGCTCACTTTTCCACATTCTACACTTGATCTGGGAAAGAGGTGGGGGAATTCTGTAAATAATTGCCCCCTATTATGAAAGGCTACATGCATTGACTTGGCAATCCTCAGCCTTGTATTCTGTGACTTGCTTGAACACATACATTACACACAGGCATACAAGTTCATCATACATGCTAGGATAAATTCACTTTTAAAATGCCATTCATTTCTTGATCCTCCAGGTAATCCTAAAAAGCCATATGTTCATGTATGCACTGAGATAAGAAGTGTAGATAAACTGAGAAAGCATGGGGAAGTGCTGAGTACTAATCAGTTTAGTGATTCAACTTATAATGTTGTTTGGAATCTATTTAAGTGTAGAGTTATTTTTTGATAAAAGATACAATAAAATTCAAATAATATTATTTAATATAGAGTATTTTAATCACAGGTATATTATAATTTTTTCTTAATATTAAATACTGTTTAATATTAAAAGTGACTAGTTTCACATTAAAGGTTATAATTTACTCAAAAGAATACTTATAAATAATGTTAAATTACAAAATAAAAACACTAAATAATCAGAAACTGTTGAAATCTTTACTTAGTATATGCCAAGTTGATCTTCTGTATATAAAGATAATTAAAAATGAATCTTGATGAAGAATAGGATGGGAGAGGGAATGGAGATGGGATGGTTGTGGGTGGGAGGGAGGTTATGGCCAGAGGGAAGCAGCTATAATCCAAAAGTTGTACTTTCAAAATTTATAATTATTAAATAAAAGTTTAAAAAATAAAATAAAATAAAATGGATAAATAATTTTTAAATTGGAATCATATTCAAAGCAGAATATGGAGTTTGTCTTCTTCACTGTGCCTGTGAATAAGTGGTGATTTTTGTCTAGGACATTTGGAAATGTGTATATTCAAATATCACATTGAAATATATATTTTTTGTAAGTACAAACACACATGTCTGCTAAGATATTGAAAATTGGGTAAATCATTTCATAATTAATCATATAAGAAATATGAAAAATCACATTAAATAACTAGAAAGATATCCCAGCCACCGACACATGACAGTAATATTGTATAAAATATTAGCATGCATTTAAAAGTGCATCAGTTTGCTGCTGGAACACTGAGGGCATCCACTGAGGCAAAGGCATTCTGAATCTTATTCATGGAAAAGTCCTTTTGTAACTTACAACTGTGTCTGCCTTATCCAAATGGCTCATGCCCTCTTTCATAAAAAGAAATTATAAGGACTTTATATGGGAATAGGATCATGAAAATTTTTATTTCATCAATTTGCTAAGACAATGCAGATAATCATAGGTATCTTTCAGTTTTCATTATACTGATTTATAATGCAGTTGAGAATGCTTTCATATCCTTAATAGTTATTGGCTATTTACATGTCTTTTGACCTATACATTCTGCTATTTTGAAATTGTGTCCCTTCATTCTATTTGTCTTTTTATTGTCTCTATAACAAGTCATTTTATGATATATATTGCAAAAATACTCTTTTAATCTGCCATATGCTTTGTTTACAGTGTCTATTCTACATGGAATATTTTCACTATTTTTTTAAGATTTATTTATTTTATTTGAAAGTCAGAATTACAAAGAGGCAGAGGCAGAGAGACAGAGAGAAAGGTCTCCTATCCCCTGGTTCACTCTCCAGATGGCCACAACGGCCACAGCTGAGCCTATCAGAAGCCAGGAGCTAGGAGCTTCTTCCAGGTCTCCCAAGTGGGTACAGGGGCCCAAGCATTTGGACCATCTTCTACTGCTTTCTCAGGCCATAGCAGAGAGCTGGATCACAGGTGAAGCAGCCAGGACTCAAACTGGCGCCCACATGGGATGCCAGCATTGCAGGTAGTGGCTCTATCCGATACACCACAGTGCTGTCCCCCCAGACTTAACCACTTTTGTTTTATATGGTAAGAACAGAGGCTCAGGGACCAATACTGATGTGGCTCAGTAGGTTAAGATGCCCGTTACACTGGCATCTCATATAGGAGGTATGGCTGAAGTCCTTCCTGCTTGGCTGTAGATCTGGCTCTCTGCTAATAAGCCTGGCAATGCAGTAGAAGATTGCCCCATCTTGGGCCATCTTGGGAACTGTCGCCCATGTGGGAAACCCAGATGGAGTTCCTAGTTCCTGGCTTCAGCCTGGCCCAGCCACAGTTGTAAGGACCATTTACAGAGTAAGCCAGTGAATGGAAGATTTCCCTTTCTCTCTAACACTCTGCTTTTCAAATAAATAAATCTTTCTTAAAAAGAAACAGTTGC